TTCCCCTTAAAGCTGTGAACTGCTACTTTGTGTCTATCAAACCTGTTTTGTTAATTGAAAACTTTGGCTGTGTCATGTGAAGGCTGTGTGCAGGCAGGAGTGGTAGTAGGAGGACCCAAAGTGCAGACACTCAGAGGCAAAACGCAAACTCAAAACAGCTTTAATGCTAAACTCAAAAGGGTAACAAAACTAGGAATACAAAATAAGCTTACACAGCAAGATGAGGGTAAATCACGACACAGACAGATGAAAACACAGGGCTTAAATACACAGAGGGAGCAATCAGGGAATGAGTAACAGGAGGGAAACACAGCTGGGGCAAATCAGGCCTAACGAAACAGGGGAAGCAAAACCAGATACATTAACATAAGACATGGACCTTCAAAGCAAAACAGGAAACATAACACAGACTGAACAAAGACACAGACTCACATGCAGGCACTACAACAGAGGGAACAGAGACGTGGGACCAGGGCAGACACAGACACGGAGATATAGCCGACAGGGGAGACAGCAACTAAGGATTACACAGAGACATAAACCATAAGACATGACTCTAACAAAGAAACCAAAGACTGGAAATGATAAATAATATAATAAACTCAAAAACCCTGGGTCAACGACCCAGGCATCCTAACAGGCTGCTCTGCATCCAGTGCACTCTTATATACGCCATATATAACCAGCGAGGAGTCTTTTTTCTATGAGTAAATATTTACAATTAGTTGAAAAGAAATTGGCAAAAACCAATTTTACGAATTTAGGCATTTAACAGAAATGGTGTTGTTTGTCTATTAAAGCATGCAACTCTGGAGCAGAAATTGTCGCCTCTTTGTCTCATTGTAGGTTTTTTCCTGATTTTTTTTAGCTGGATACGTAGCCTCTTAAATATCACTTTGTCAGTAAATATTTAAGTTGTTTATAAAATATACTGCATGTTAAACAAACCCAAAGAGTAAAACTGCCCTTACATGACAGTGGCTTGTCTTTTTGCACTTTATCTGCATGTAACCTGATTGAAATTACACATAATCCTCCTACTTTCAGTTTTATTGAATGTGGTGGGGACTTTAGTTTGAAAGAGGTAGAAAACAAGGTAGATCAACTGACAGTATGAAAAAAAAAACATCGGGAAAAAGAAACTTTCTCAGTCTGACAGATGACAGCCTGTGAATGGAAGTATGGCAGCAGAGAGTCTGTCTGCCAAATTTCTCCAGGATGAGGGGATGTGACACTTAATAACAGCCTTTCTTATCGTACACGTATCATAGAGACACAGAGTGTTTCACGTGTGCTTCCTTCAACGTTCAGTTTGCACAGATTTAAAAGGAGGCCCAAACTAAAATGAACTACCTTCACCTTCATTTCTTCCACTTTTTTTAATGAGCTGCTCTGAGCTGTACCTTTTCGTAGAACCTCCTATTACTCATTCGTCGCCCGCCCCAATCATTACCAGCAATATTCGAAAGTCCACTGGTTTTCAGTGTAAGCTGTGCCACTTTGAAGTTGAGTGGGGATCCTTTGCAGCGTTGACAGGCAACTAATTAAATCTGATCTGGAGTTCTCGTTTGATTCGCCATTACTGTTAACCACAGTCTCCAGGGAAGATGAAGAAAACTAACGTTAAAGATATCGTTCTTTACCTCTTTCGTGTCGATGGGGTCTTCGCGATGAAGCTGGCTGTATGTCTTAAATAGGCGTATAAAGAGGATCGAGTCAAACAGATAGACAACCTGTGAATCTGAAGCTGTAAGCTGTTAAACTGGTGCATTAACCTCCTGCCTCCTAAATCTCTCTTAAGAATCAGCTGTTAGCAATGCTCAATTTTCCTTCTGTTAGTTAAAGAATAAAAATATTGTGTACTTTAAGTACAAACATGGTGCACGTTTGAACCCATGAAGCACATTTAATGAATATATTCTCTTTAAGAGCCTTTAAAATCTCATTCGACTGATCCTTAAAATGCTCTGCTACTCTGTTTGAGGACTCAAAGTGCTTTCTTACTACAAGCCTCATTCACCCACTCACAGTGCATTTTTTCTATGCCTAAGCATGTTTAACTTAACGTTTGCACACTCAGACTCCAGTAGATATATTGGAGGCAGCTTGGGGTTCAGTGTCTTTCCCGAGTACACTTTGACATGCAGACTGCTGCAGGTACTCGAACGACAACCTTCTAATTCGTAGACGTTACCCTCTACCCACTGAACACATGTACAGTTTATTGTATATCAGCATAACTTTACACATACAGCGAGCATAACGCCCAAGTGCGTATTTATAATACAAAGGCTTAGGCTTAACTTTCCATTAAGAAATGTTGAACTTTCCGTGTCAGTTTGGTGTCCTGTGAGGTTACAGTGAAAAGCTCTGCATAAAACAATCCATGCAAATCCAGCATCTTGTTGCCCCATATGCACCAATCCATAGGTCAATGATACCTTGACTGCATATTTGCAGATCCAAAACAGTTTTACATTCATCAAGATGCAACATTTGTCCCCATCGGCGAATGAAGGAGAAATTGATATCCACAGTAACAAGTCTGAACAAATGGTCTGTTTCATGAATGTGAATGAACGGAAATCAAATTTGTTCTGTAACTGTGAAATGAGAGATGTTGTTTTCTTTTCTCTTAAAATTAAACAGCACTGCTTTGCAGACTGAACGAAGAGAAGATTAGGCTAATATTTATACACCAAACACTTTGTCTTACACAGGAAGGCATTAATAATGAACAGTCTGAAACAGTCCTCCTAAGATACAATAAATAGCATTTGTCTTGAAAGTCAAACTAAGTTTTCCTTTCGTCCAATTCATTCCTACATTGATTGTGGGCCCTTTTTAAGATGCTTTGGACCGCATTTTTTCCATGTGTGCTGTAGATGCTTTAAAGGGTAATGCACATATATTAAAGGCAATGAGAATATGAGAGTCATGGGAATATGATTACTAGGAGTACTCTTTTAATATTGCTTCATATTCTACTTTTAATTAGAGCTGTTATTAAAAGAAAAGTAGTCAGTCTCTCACTTGGTTGTGGAAGATTTTGGCCCACTCTTCTTTCATTCATTGAGGTTTGCAGGCAACACAACACAGCTTTAGAGTCAGGTTGAAGTCTCGACTTTGACTGTTCCAGTAAACACTTCAGTAATTCTGTTGTAGATTTGCTGCTATGCTTCGGATCATTGCCCTTTTGCAAGACCAAGTTTCATCTGTCAGACACAAGGTTTCATGTTTGAAGAGAAAACTTTGGTATACAGAGGAGTTCATGGTCGGCACAATGGCCACAAGGTACCCAGGTCCTGTGGCTGTAACACAAACATAGATGATCAATTGTCCACCACCGTTCTTGACAGTTGGTATGAGGGTTTAGTGCTGATATGCTGTGTTGGTTTTCCCCAGTCATCTCTACTGGTTGATTGATTCAATTCATCCATCCATTCGCTTCCGCTTATCCTTTTCAGGGTCGCGGGGGGCGCTGGAGCCTATCCCAGCTGTCATAGGGCGAGAGGCGGGGTACACCCTGGACAGGTCGCCAGTCTGTCGCAGGGCTCAACACACAGGGACAGACAACCATTCGCACTCACATTCATTCGCACATTCACACCTAGTGACAATTTGGATTATCCAATTAACCTATCCCCACAAGCTGCATGTCTTTGGACGGTGGGAGGAAGCCGGAGTACCCGGAGGGAACCCACGCAAACACGGGGAGAACATGCAAACTCCACACAGAAAGACCCCGGCCTGATGGTGGAATTGAACTCAGGACCTTCTTGCTGTGCGGCAACAGTGCTAACCACCGTGCCACCGTGCTGCCTAGTATTCATTAAATTATTTTATTAAGCCAAACTGTTCTACAGTGGCCATTGTTCCAGAATACTTGTAGGATTATGTTGTACACCTAAGCTGTAGTGCCATTTTTTTTTTAACCTCCTAAGACCTGAACTCTTCCACGGCATGCATTTTTAATTTCTCTTTGATATTTGGGCTGATTGGGGCCCGATGAATGTAAAAACAAAGAATTACCAGATTTTTTTTTTTACCTTTTTTTTTAAGAAAAATAAGAGCCACATATGAGGATATTCTTTAAAATTTTGATAGAACAGTAGCAGTATAATGTCCTCGTAAGTGGATATCAGGCCCTTGTAGAGCAAAATTGAGTATTTTGGTCTAAATAACCCAAAATGTGATGTCCACATATGTGGACGCCAGGTCCTAGGAGGTTAAAGAGAAGATGCTTTCAACTGGCAACCTTTTTGGAAAGGTATGCCTGGTAACGTATACACGAGGCCTGTTGAGTCTGAGATGTAGCTCTTTGGTAATTCAAGTCATTCGAGTTTCCATACATCAAGCCTAGATAGCGCAGCATGAGACTCTTAGTCCGATAGTTCGAGCCGCACGTTGGGCATTGGTGTTTAAAGGTCTGACGATGTGGTGAATATCCAAGGTGGTGTCAATGAATGCTGCAGTCCAGCAAACTGTAAGGGTGTGTTAAGTTTTTCACAAGGGTCCAATATAAAATTATGCATTTGTATTATAGGCATCTTTTTTAAAAGTGTCACTTTGAAAGTGAACAAACCGCAAACAAACCCTCATACCCGTGTGTTTGTGTTTCTGTGTGAAAGACATATTTGGTATTCTTCACCGGTAACCAAATCAATTAAATGCACATGTGCACCCCCAAAGAATTTAAGACTGCAGGTGCAACAAAGAGAATTTAAGTGTTTGATCTTTTCCCCGCATCGGAGGACGCCTTCAGGCTCACACGCAAACAGGTTTTCTCTACAAACATATTTAATGCTCCATCTCACAACGTCCACCTACACAAGAAAACGAATGCACACACCTACACGCATGTCTCCTCAACACCCAGCATGTTAAATTTGGTTGTCAGTGAAGCCCAAAAGGCATGCAGCTTTTTCTACCCTTTCAGTGTGTTGCTTTACTTTTTGCACCAAATAGTGACACCCCTTTCTTCAAACTGACTTCCGCAGATGCAGAGAAAGAGTGTCAAGGACACATCAGCAACTTCCAAGACGCCTGACGCAAGTCAAAAGGAGGACAGGTGCTTCTGAAGAGCCGAACTCTGAGGTGCAGTAAATATACTTCAAGGTTCTTGAAAGGTCCCTGGATGACAGGCAGATCTCTGCCAGAACATGTGTATGTGCTAGATGAATGTGCGCGTGTGTGTGTGTGTGTGTGTGTGTGTGTGTGTGTGTGTGTGTGTGGTATTTAAAAAAAACAATCAAACAGCATTGTGCGTTGAGTGTTTCTCAGTTTCGAGGTCTCTAATGAACATTATTTCTCACAAGGCCTAGACATTTGGTGGCATCGCGCCGTGGCCCTACAGAAGTGTCGAGTCGAGTGGAACCACTAGAAATAATTCAGTGTACAGTCTGTGTGTTTGCATGTCCCAGTGGGACTGGAGTGTGTACGTTCAAGAGTGAACCTGCTGCGTTATGACAGGCTGCAGGATTAACCCACCTGACAGGCATTTGATCAGGTTTGTGGCCGTAGCCAAGTGAAATCAAGGGAATGTGTGACGCTCCATTAATCCATGTATTGGATCACACTGTGTATTTAGTCTGATGGTTTTTTTCTGTCACCAGTGTCACCATATATTGCAGCCAACTGGGCAGTAGCAGAAAATGAAATGATCATAAGGACTTATTGAAAACAAAGGTTAAAATTAGAGTTCATTCTGTTTTTTATAAATATACACTGGACAGTGCCGGCAACATATTTGATTCAGCTTCATGTCTCTTGTACTTCCAGTTGAGTGAGCATCCAATTCTTTCTGTGATAAAGGATCAAATCAACCATTTTACAATACGTTTACCAGACAACGACTAGCCTAGTTCCAGGCTCCTTTTCCTTTTTTTTTCTTCTTCTTTCAGCTGCTCTTCTCTATCTTCAAAATCCTTTGTCCAATATATCCACTATCTGTCCTCTACACATGTCCAAACCACATTAGCCTCTCTAACTTTGGCTCCAAACTGCTCCACCTGAGCGGTACCTCTGATGTACTCATTTCTAATCTGGTGAAAATCCTAGCATTTCCTCTTCGACTTTTATTCATTTATGGGTTTTTTTAATCCTGTCCTGTCTGGCAGTTTTTGCAATCAGAATTATGATCTGAATACAGTGTGCCAAATACATTTTGCTTTTCCAGGACCAGCTCTACAAATTCTTTGCAGGCTCCTCTTGTTCGGGGTTTATCTGTTTATTTCTTCATTTCTATTTGTGTTATTTCAGTGACTACATTATGGTGGTATACAGTATGACAATGTCTAAGGCAGGACAGGCGGGAAAAGGTGTGTGTGTGTGTGTGGGGGGGGAATAAAGGGATAGAGAACAAATAGAAATTTAAAACATATTGCCAACTGCTGCACCTGGAATGAAAAACAAACAAACAGCACTTACAACACAAAAACTACAAAATGCACAGGTATATAAATCAACACCCTTCTTGTGGGGTCTTTGTGTGTGAGTGTGAAAGAGAGAGAGAGTGTCAAGTGTGAGTGCATGTGTCACAAAATATACTTTAAAATGAGTGTGATGCCTGAATAACAGCCTCTAGGAGCCAGAGGTAGATCTGGCAAAACCGGGCCATCCGCAGCCCCCAAGAGTACTGAGGACCTGAGGTCACACATCTTGGTGATATCTGTGTACACGTCCCAGCAGGAGAAGGAGGGGGGTCCTAGATCGGGCACCCATGACCAAAGATTGGGAGCCCCAGAGGACAAGGTGAGACAGAGACACATAGTAAATGGACACACTGGTCTGGGTCTGAGACAAACTGCACCCAGAAACGGATGTCTCTTACCTGGACACCCCACCCAAAGGGCCTGTGGGCACGCATGAGTCCCCAAGGCGCAGACAAGACTTCCCTGCTTTGACTGATGCACACTACACCGCAAGCCAGCCAAAGGGGTGCAGACCTACCCTGGGGAAGGAGGAATGCAGCCTGGGTTTCAGGCGACCCCAGGCACCAGGAACCCAGGCCCCAGACCCACTCAAAGGAGGCCAGCCTCCTGACCGGGGAACAGGACCCACTACCACAAGCACCCCTGGCCCCACACCCCGGCACCCTAGACAGCACCCACCCCAGTCCCCACCGCCACTACCTGAGGCAGAGACCCTGTTCCTCCAAAAGGGCAATCGCAGTTTTCCATCCCCCAGGAAGCCGCCAGACCCCAGTAGTCCCAGAGAACACGTTCATCCATCTGCAAGGAATACAGGCAAACGAGACTACAGCTGATAACCCTCACTAAGTAATGTAATTGATCAGTGGGAACCAGAGAGAAACAAATTTATCCATTTGGGTTTTTTGAGGAGGAAGACATTCTCTCCAGACTGAAGTAAATTTCTGTATTGACTAGTACATACTTTTTTTTTTGGATTTCCGGTGCATGAGGATAGTCTTCTTAGCGATGCATTAGGAAGTGAGTATAAGTGATGTAAATACTTCTATATCTACTTCATTATGTCACCTAAGATGCACAGCTTGGGAGAGGTTGGGATATAACATCTGACACAAAAAACTAAGTGGTTAGCTTTAGGCATCACCCACTTTTGAGTAAAATATGCTGCTGACAGCATTAACTCTCACGCTGAAGGTATCCATATCCATATTCCAATTCACTCCTACAATAAACCAGCGTGTCACTCCGGGGCTAGAAAGGACTCCTCGTGGGTAGAAGTGAGACTTTAGCAGCTCTAATGAAACAGCAGTGTCTGATGCCCCAGGAAAGAGAGCAGTCTGAATTTTCCATGGATGAGAAGGTGTGGACAAAGGTGGGCCTGGGGTCACTCGAAATGGGAGCAGTTAATGCAGCTGTGCCTGATGATGCACACCTTAGGCCTGGAGTTTGACTCAAGGCATGCATTATGTATTTGAACAATCTTGTATTTTAGTCAGCTTCCATTTCATGTTGTGGCTCACAAACCTGGTCCCAGCAGTTGAAAAGTCTACAGATCACAGCCAGTGAATGATAAAACAGACAAAAAAATGGGGGAAAAAAATGGCAAAAAAAAAAAACATCAGAGAGGGTCCAAAACGACTAGAAAAGAAAAAAACAAGCAGTGTGACAAGATACCTGAAACATGCAAAATCAACACTGGCTCAGTTTCTCTCAGCAGAATTTGGAAAAGCACGTCAAATGAGACAAGAAACGCCCCTGCCGGGCCGTGACGCAGCTTTTAATATAATTGCAAATTACTGTAGGGATGCCATTCAAGCCCAGAGGTGGAGAATGAGTCACTCACGGCTTACTACCATGTTGCTATTAGCCTTCTGACCCTGCAGGTCAGGTGGGAGAACTCTTTCACACACACACACACACACACACTGCGACACTTTCAGTCTCCTTTCCATTTTCCTCTCTTAGATGACGTCGCTTTAATGTGTTTCTTTCTCTGAAACACACACACACAGCATCTTGTTTGCTTATTTATTCATATATTCAAACCTGCTTGTATGCTTTTATGTGATAATGTTGCCCCAGAGGCCTGATTATACAGGCCTGTTAAAAGAGACTTCCTCCTCAATATACATGCCACACATAGACTGTAAACTGTCTATGTGTAAATGTTACCACGAAACACACATAAATTATACAGTTGTTCATGTGTGAATGCTCTAATGAAAGCATTGCCTAAATCTGATATAGGACACTGTGAAACAATTGTGAGGTTTATTTGTAAGTCAGTAAGAAAAGGGGGCAAAATATGGAAAAGCTTAAACCTTGTGGCATCAGTGTGACTCCAATCAGCTTTGTTTTGACCGTATTAAAGTTTCTATAAGCACAGACAAGTATAAGAATGATTATGACAGTTATTTTATATCAAGGTTGCTGTTTTCTCCTATTGTAGCAGCTCCTGGTGCATAATTAAAGTCTATCAGTGACAGAAACACCCACAGTGCTGCTCTCTCTGCACTGCTGGATTCATCATCCATCCTCCTCCACTAAAGGTTAGAGCGATGATACTGAACCTGTATTGAAAGATTCACAGGTCTGAGTGATAAAACAGCATGTACATTATATTCTTGTGGTGCTAGAACAGAGACATCGGATGAGAATCAATTTCAGTGCATTAGATTTCTCAGCACAAGCGCTGCAGTCCAAAAACGGCAAACTAAACAAACAAGCAAAGAGAAGTCACAGTTAAAAGTGTCTCTTTGTTACAACGTTAATATCGCGTGGTGGGATACTGATGCTGGTGTAACCCTTTTATTTCCATTTTTTTTTAAGGTTGCTTTGTTTTTTCCCCCCCTAAAGGCAATCGATACCAAGTGGATAACAGCAACGTCCGTTCAGAGAGCTTCTGTTCAGTGGAGGTGGACTACAAAAGAGCTTGCTCACACTGACAGTAAAGTAGAGGGAATTAGTCTGTGTCACATAAGAGTGAAAAATAATTAATAATTTTTAGTTTTGTTCTCATTATTGTTGGAGAAGTTTTACTAACTGACAGGATTCAGCTAGCAAAACACTTTAAAATGCTAAACTCTGCAGCGTGGCTATGCCCACCACACTGACATCCACTCAGATCTCAGTGTCAACTTTAGCCTTCTTAAGGCCACGTTTACAAAACGGAGAAAAGTAGCACGTGAGCACAAATAGTGCTCACAGGCGTGGTAAATTTTATGAGTGATGGGCAAATGTTGTTTTCCAAACACAGACGCAGTCATTTTATTTTAATGTGAAGCGCAATAAAATAAGACATGCTTCTGTCAACATTAAATATTGGTGCAGTAAAACGCGTGTCACAAGCGTTTGTAAATCAGCTTTCACGCTTGATTTAAACATTCGCCTCGCTATATTGTGCGCCTTAAGAAAGGAACTTGCAGATATACATATAGGTCATTCCATCCTAATTTTTAGAGCATTTCTAGCTTCACCATCTTCGATTCACATAAGGCAATGTTTGAGCATCGATGTCTCAAAGCCCAAAATTTTCCCTCGTCCATCACAATGAACAGGTTCTGTAACTTAGACAGATATATCAAAAAATGTAGGACAAGTGTTACCAGAAGAGCAAAAATATCAGTAGATACTCTAATCCAAATAGAAGAAGGGTCTGGAGCTTTC